CAGCCTGAACTGCATATCGAGACCCTGTCTCAAAAAAAAAAAAAAAAAAAAAAAAAAAAAAGTGCAAAACCTGGCTACTGAAGACCATAAAACATTACTAAGAGAAATTAAAGACCTACATAACAGAGAGGACAATGTTCATTAACTGATCGTATGTCAAGGTTCTTCACATTCATCTGTAAATTCAAGACACCTCCAATCAGAATCCTGTAGGTCGTATAAAAATTGCCAAGGTGATTCTTTTTTTTTTTTTTTTTGGTCTTTTTGAGACAGGGTTTCACTATACAATTTAGGCTGGCAATGAACTCTGTAGCCCAGGCTGTCCTCAAACTCATAGCAATCCTTCTGCCTCAGCCTCCCAAGTGCTGGGACTTCAGGCATACGCCGCCACACCAGGCTTTTTTCCTTTTTTTGGTACTGGTAATCGAACTCAGGACCTTGCACTTGCCAGACAGGCACTGCCACCGAGCTACAACCCTGGCCTGCCAAGGTGATTTTTTAATATATAAGTGCAAAGGATACAGAATAACCAAAATATTTTCTAAAAGAAAACGTATTTGGAAGACTTAGACCACCTGATCTCAAGACTTCATAAAGCTACGGAAACCAAAATAATATGCAAGTAGTGAAAAGATCACCACGTAGAGCAAAGGCGTGTCAGTGCAGAAATAGACCACATATATGTGCAGATTAATTTTCCATGAGACCCTAAGGTGATGGCAAGATTGTTTTTCGGAATCTCAACAAATGGCACACAATTGGTCACAGAAATGAAACAAAAAAGAGCTCCAGTCTGGCCGTGGTGTCAGGATCTATAATCCCAGCTACTGGAGACTTGGGGAGGAGGACCACAAGTTCAAGGCCAGCCTGGGCAGCTTAGCAAGACCTGGTCTCAAAATTTAAAATGTCAATAAGTAAAAAGGGCTGAAGATGGCAGCCGGGCGTGGGGGCCCACGCCTGTAATCCCAGCACTCGGGAGGCTGAGGCGGGAGCATTGCCACAAGCTGGAGGTCAGCGTGGGCTACCTAGTGAGTTACAGGCCAGGAGGAAGGAGGAGAAGGAGGAGGGAGAGAGGACATGGAGAAGGAGAACGGTACCTAGCAGATTAGTGGAGCACTCTGAGTGTGTCTGGGTGGGTCTCCGAGCCACGGCCTTGGGAATGATACATGGCCCTTCACTGTTCCTGCATGGCATTCTCTTTTCTTTTTCTTTTTTTTTTTCCCTCCAGACAGAGTCTCACTACATAGTTCAAGTTGGCCTTGAGCTCACAGGTATCCTCCTGCCTCAGCCTCCCAGGTGCTGGGATTACAAGCGTGTGCTGCCACGCCCAGCCTCTCTGGCACTGTTCCCCTGCTCAGCCATTCCCTTCCACCATGATGTCTCTCCTGGGGCCAGTCTCTGTGGGACTGAAGCTGTGAGCAAACTAACCCTCCCCTCCTTTCAGCTGTGAGTGTCCGTGTTCTGTCCCAGTGGTGGGAAAGCTGCCTGCTTCACTTCCCCAGGAGAGGCAGGGTGCACCCTGTGACCACGGCTGCCCAAGCACATGCTGGGATCAGGCCGTTGCTGCCCCAGGAGACTTGGACCAAAGTCCCCACCCTATTCAGCCACCGACTGGCTCCTTCTGCCCCCTTGAGTTTTTTATTTTGTTGGTTTTTGGGTTTTGTTTGTTTGAGACAGGGTGTCGCTACACAGTTCAAGGTTGGCCTTGAGCTCAGAGCAATCCTCCTCAGCTGGGATTACAGGCGTGAGTTACCACACCTGGTCTCCATAGTATCAAGCCTGCCACCCTCCTGCATGTGCATGCTGTCCTGGGAGTCACCTTCCGAATGCCCACCCTACCCTGGACAACTCTGAGTGTACTGGAAATGCAGGGGCTGCAGGGCTGCAGGGACCGTCTGGCCCCGCCCTTCTGCCTGCCTGCAGGGGACCCAAGAGCTTGCCGCTGAGGCCTGGAGACATCACTGTGGACCTGCTAGTGTCCTCAAGTGTCCAGGAGCCTGGCAAGAGGCCCGCTGCCCCCACCCCACAAAGGGACCGCTGTGGGGACAGCGAGGGGCCACACACAGGAGCGGCCTGTCCCAGCGGGCTCAGGTTCTCCCTGGCCCAATTGGGACGCTGGGATAGAAAGGTGGCCTTTCTCTCTTTCAGAAAGGGACAGAGAGGGAGCTTGTGCTTTTGTCTCCACTCTGGCCTTGAGACTGGTGACTTTTCCAGTGAAACCAGCACCCGCGGCCTCCTGTGTACCCGCCCGGGGAGCAGGACACTTCCAAGGTCCACCCTGCAATTGCTGGCCACATCTAATCAGCAAAGCTGGCCCTGCCGACCCACCCACAGGAAGCGGGGGTGTCCCCTCGGGAAGGGGGCGCAGGTGCAGCGTCTGCGAGTCCAGCCAGGAGCGAGGCCTCCCTGGCCTTCACTTCTGCAGGCTGTGTCCCTAACACAGGCCATCCCCTTCGAAACAGAGGCCCCAGCTGGCCTCCATGCATCCCAAGGACAGCGGCCAAGGCACGGCCTGCCTGGATGCTCACCCTGCCCACTGGCCCTGAGCACACGGCCATGCAGGAGCCCAGTCAAACAGTGCCGGATCAGGCCCAGGTGTGTGCCGTCTAAGCCTGACTTCTAGCAGGCCATGGGGAGCCCCAGGCCAGACCCAGTGTCCCCTCCTACTTTCCCTGTGCCCTTCTGGCTAGCAGGCTGGGCTTTCTGTACTTTCTAGCACTAACTTGAACAGCAAACAGGGTCTCAGGGGCTCTGCCTTCCTCCCTGGCATGATTCCTCTTAGAAGGAGAAGAGTTCTCTTCCAGTCCTACACTGTGGCTAAAAATATTATGGCCAGCCCTGTGTATTCATGGGTTCCACACACACACATTCAGCCGATGGCACATTAAAAATATCTGAGGGCTGGGCACACTCATCCTAGAAGTCAGGAGGCTGAGGCAGGAGGATTGCAAATTCAAGGTCAGCATGAACTACATAGTGGGCTCCTGTCTCAAAGAAATGTCTGGTGTGGTGGTATGCACCTGTAATCCCAGCTACCTGGGAGAGGATTGCAAGTTTGAGGCCAGCCTGAACAACTTAGCAAGAACCTATCTCAAAGTAAAAATAAAATAGAAAAAGGGCTGAAGACATAACTCCATGGTCCTTGATTTTACTGCCCAGTACTACAAAAAAAGAGGTATTTTTAAACTGTACCTGTACTGAATATGTATGTACTTCTCTCCATGTCATGATTCCCTAAGCAGTGCAGTCTAACAACCACTTACACAGCACTTGGGGTGTGTTAGGTAGACGTCATCTGGAGATGAACTAGATTATAGGGTTTCCAGGTTCTATGCAAACAGTACCCCTTTTATAGGTGAGTGGAGCACTGGACTTTGGTTCCACAGAGGGCCTTGGAACTAATCTCGCACTGATAGCTAGGTATCAAGGGATATCACGTGCACACACACACACATACACACATGCACATACACTCACACACGCGCACGGATTCTACACTCAGTCATAGGCCCAGCCCCACCTGTGCCAGTGGCAGCCCTGACTCCCTCCCTGCCTGGGAACTGAGGCCGCTGTGGGAGCCTAGAAGGAGAGCAGATGCCAGGATCACAGGTGCCCAGCCCCGCAAGGCGTGGACATGCTGAGGGCGACTGCTATGAGTCCAGCAGCACCCAGGACCCTGGTCACCGAGGCAGTCACTGAGCTCTGGGCCTCCTGAGTCCCAGCCCTGGCTGGTCCTGGTACAAGCGAGTCTAGGGGAGGCTGTTTCTCCGTGTTCCCCTCCCCTGCAGCGCACCTCCTCTCCTCCTGTGGATCACGGTGTCACGTGACATGCACCCACACTGCCCTCCTGCGGAAGGCCCCTCCTGTCTTCCGGGTCCAACACCTGCACAGACGTGTGGCGGGCCCAACACTTCTGTCTGCACCAGCCACAGGTCTCTGGCAGCCTGCGATTGCACTGCCTCCTCCCAGAATGCGATCCGCATGGCTGGTGCAATTTCCCTCTCCTGCAGCTCTGCTCACCACTTCTCCCCACTGCTGAAATCCCCATTAAACTTGACTCCTAAACCTCCCAATTTTGTGCCATTTGGTTTGTTTTGGTGATACTGGGCTTAGAACCCAGGGCCTTGCACATGATGGCCACCCGCTCCACTCCGAGCTACCCCAGTGCCAGTGCAGTTTTATGTCATCTCTATGTGCTGACCTGTCCCCCCGGATCTAGAAGCCCACCTTTGTGGCAGTGGTGGCCCTCGTGGGGCCCTGGGGCTGGGGCAGCCCCTGCTGTTTCCTTCCACAGGGGCTGATGTGAGGGTGCTGGTCCTGGGGAAGGCTGACCTGGGTGGCTGCCGTGGCCCGCTGCTCAGGGCCCTGGTCACAGCCACCTCCAGCTCTTCCGGGCCACCAAGGGGGTGTCTGGTCAACACCTGTGCCAGTGACCCCTTCCCTCCAGGAAGTCAGTTCAGGAGAGCTCGA